TGCTTTGAACATAAGCGCAACGATTGAGGAATTAATTAAAAGGGATATGATAATCAATTTTGTTAATTCTGTTCCCTCTTATAAAGTTGGACATACACATTACACAACTCAATTCGTTCTTATTAAACAGACATTTCTGAGAATTCTTCCTGAAAACGTTTCAAGGAATAGTTGCGCAATAATGAATCACTCGTAACTAACAGAACTAGGTAAAGTGGGGCATACGTGTCGAAATTAGCTCCAAGCTCTAATCAGGAGAACTTCTTTATCATCATAAAAAAATGAGAGCTTCGAGCTAATTTTTGCACGAATGCGCCAATACGCTTGGCTCTATAACACAGTAAATGTTCACAAAACCATGCCTATTCTCAGGAAAAAAAAACAATGGGAAGACGAGACGTTTAGCGGTAATCCAAATTGGTTAACAGACAAAGAGTTGTTAGGATAATTTCAGGAAGCATCTGTTGACGTCACCATTATATAATGCATAATTGTTGGTGTTCTGCTAATTGCCGCTGACTTGCGGTGTGCTTAAATGAGTGCGTAGTTTTTTTGTTCTCTTTGTTTACATAATTATTTATTTCGGTGGAGTGGCTTCGATTCTCACACGGGACAAGCATTGTGTGACCCACAGATAGTTGTTTCTGTTCCTGATCCTGTGTTTGTTTCCCAAGGAGGGTCAAACATAGCGAAAACCACTAACAACACGATCCGCATGTTTTGCCGACCCCACCTGGGAAAAGCAGGATGTTGAGGAATCAATCCAGAAAAGCGAAGACCGCTTCCATCAGTAATCTTTACATAGTATAAAACAAAGTCGCTCCCGACGTTTGTACGCTTCGATATTTTAAACAACGCAACATTATTCAAGTGGCACGTTTTTGTTTTTAAAAATTTAGGAAAAGGACAAATACTTTTAGGACACATTTTTATATAAAGCTCTCTAGTCCCAAATTGAGCAACGCTTGTACTATGGGTACTAGATATAAACATACCCAAACATACCGCTCGTTTATAATAAATACGTATAATTCATATATAAACATCTAGACACTGGAAAAATACTATGTTCATCACATACTCTTTTTCCAGTAGTGGTGATCGAACCTACAACCTCTGGCGCAAGAAGATCCACTACCCACTACGTCAATCGCCAGTTTATATATATAGAATAACGCATATTGTAGTAGAGAAAAGCGGAAAAATTCAATATCTACATTGTATTATCTTTACTTTGTTTTATCGAGTTAAGAAGCTAGTAATATACGTTTTTTTACTTTGTACAACAAGAGCACTGGTATAATTACTTATTTTTCCATTTTAAGCTAAAGAATCACCACTCTAATGATTTAATTTGTGATACCGATTGGGCAGCACTACCGGCTATACCTATTTTTTAACAGCCAAAAAAGACTATGATATTCTTTGTGCAGCTTCGTTTGTACAACATATAATGACACTTTCCCATAAATTTCACGTGGACAAACACCCAGATGCGAAACAACTTTCTGTGGGTCACACAAATAGTTGTCCCGTGTGGGAATCGAATGTGGCAACTGCGCCACGGATTTATCTTATGATACTTATGACACTTCCTTTAGGGTTGCCAACAATTGCACACGAAGCAGGGGCCGGTCGTTAGTTGAGAGTATAAAGGCACTCACCCAGCTGTAGTATGCCCATCAGCAGCTCGACGCAGCCGGAGAGGAACGCTAGCAGAACTGCGAACTCGGGCCCCAGGCCGTGGAGGTTCTCGCGGGTGAGGATCGCCGCGATCGCCGTGGGCCCTATCGCGGAGTCCTTCACGGAGCCGAACACGGTGTAGACGAAGCAGGCCATGAACGAGGAGTACAGCCCGTACTGCGGCGGCAGGCCGGCCACGCCCGCGTACGCAATCGCCTGCGGTATCACCGTCAGGCCGACCGTGATGCCTGCGAAACAATTTTTTTCTTAATTCAAAACTGGCCAGCACTTGACTGCCATCCCACCTGATCGTAAGTGGCGATGCAGTAGTTGATCGTAAGCGCGATAGCTCAGTAAAAACCTGTGCACTCTTGCCTTGAAGACGCCTACGCTGTAAACGGACGGAAAGAAGGACGCCGGTAGGTTATTCCGTTCCTTAGCTGTACGCATGATAAATGAAGAATCGCTTTGTTCATGTACGTGGAACGTCGACAGTATAAGGGTTGAGCCCCGCCGAGCGCCTGGTTGTCCGATGATGGAAAGAAAATCGGTAGGTCTCTGTTTTGTCATTGTTTTTCCTCAAAGTAATATAATGTTATATACTATAATTCGTTTTTTTTTAAATTACTTGGGAGCGATCATCTTTTTCTCAGGTATTATCATTAATGTATTCATTTATATTATAATAATCTTTTTTTTAAAGTTTTTCTTCAATAAATTTCTTAAGCCTGCTAATAGACAGTGACATTGTATCTCTTGTCAACCGAATTCGATGAAGGGGGTCCTCCTTCTGCGTTCTGCACCTCGGAACTACGCGTTTTCGAAAATTCTTCTTGTATCGGGATCAAATTAAATCCCATGAGGCATTAATTGGTAGGAACAAATCGGGAAACCATTCCAAAATCAAATACACTGAAGTCATTTTTGGTTATTTCTTTATTTAAACTTTAGCTTTTATTGTAGAATAACACTACCCTTTGTTGGAAGAACATTTTACGAACATACATTTTTACCTAGACATCTTTACTGGGCATAGCACGGCGTATCCTATTGCTTTCGAATCATATACGTTCCTATCAAGATCATGGTATAAGTACGGTATAACCATCTCTTTACGGCGGAATCGCAGTTGAAACTGCGTAATAAATAATTTCTAATTAACTTAAGATAAAGACGCATAATGCCTTTGGATTAATTAAGCCATAATTACAAAAATTAAGTATTGACTGTCGCAGTTATTAAGCGTTACTAATGAGCCTGTAAAATATCCTGCCATAATAGGTGGCTGCCTTTGTTACAGCAACATATTCTTTATAATAGTATATAACCAAGGCAGAGCTTTGTGTGTCTTAGTTTTTTACTTTTATATTATAATTATTTACTTAATGACATTTTAATTTTTATATTTCGAATTATTAGAATTGAAAGAATGTTTAACTGATAAGTTTAAATAAATATATTAAACTGATCGTTCTTGTATGGATATAATTTTTCTTTACAACGAATTATGCTACACCATCATAGCCTTTTATGGGTGATGCACTAAGTTAATTTTCCAATACGTTAATTTACCTTTTGCAGATGTGTTAACTATCCAATCTCTACCTGAATACCTGTATCTTTGCTAAAGCTATAATTCTTGGCAATTGGAAAAATTGTCATATTTAATCGTATATTGTAATATGTCAAAACATTGTAAAGTAACAAAGAACCACTTTAATTATGAGCAAGAATATTTAAGATTAATTTTATTTTTAGTGCTAGTCACACACTCAAGATAAAACTTTCAATTGTAAATAAAAAGTTTACAAAAAAAATACAATTTATGAGTACACATTACATTTAAGCGTATTTTTAGCTTGTAAACTTTATTTGATCACGTTAGGGAATTATTAAAAGTTTAAGGTTCAAAATGCACACCACGAATATCTATCGCAGTTAATATTTTATACTTTTATTTTTTAATACGTTTACATGTGATTATAATGATAGTGATAAGTTAGGATTTGAATATATTTCTTGTGATATTTTTTATGCTTATTGAATAAATGTACTATTATATTTCCATGCTGCGGGAATCGAAGCCACAACCCTCGACACCGTATGTACTTGTATGTAACTTTCCCACATAGTATTCCAAAAGAGCGCCTTTTTATAAGAAATTATAGGGATATTCCTCCATTTCAATTTTGCTTCTTCATTCATACAACATACATATGACATGGTATATCTTATGAGCAGGACACCAAATCTTTGCACAAACATTCGTCACGAATGCGCCAACAAGGAATCGCGCAGAGAATCGCGGCCAAACTGTTCGCTTGCGACATTTCACATCACCCCAAACATCTGCGCCAATAATGCAGTAGAAAAACACCAATTTCACGCTCCGATAGCGACGCTCAATCGAATTAGAAAATGGTCCCCCGCCCAAGGGCATAGAGTTTATAGTCCTTTGTTTTGTAACGGCTATTGCAGGTGTATGCTATTTGAGGCGAAACTGAAACTTTGTAAAATCGCTTCGTATCGTGTCAGTGAACTTTAATTTCCTTTTTGTTCTCTGTACTTAATGGAGGTAAAAAGTGAATGACTCTTGTAGTGTCTTCGAAAAGACAATTTTGTATCACTTATTACTTCATTTCCATGATTCGGTGGCACAGTTGCTAAGCTAATGGCATCGGCACCGTAGTCATTCGTGGGTTCGATTCCCACACGGGACAAAGAAGGACGTCGGCAAGGCGACCAGTCGTACAAAACCTAACCAAAACGTAAGTAAATTGTTCATGAGTCATATGCTGTGTCAACCCAACCTAGGTGGAATGAGGGTTGGAGGTCATTCTCATGAAAACGCTAATTAATATATAAAGAATGCAAATGATTTGATACTGCAAACTGTCACGACTTAACAAGATTAAGACAATAGATAAAGAAATAGAAAGGAATTAAGATTCAATTCGATTGTATGGTCTGATTTAAATTCACTAACTATGTAACGTTGGATGGTTTGATCTAACGTGTTTTAACTACGCCATTCGGGTCGTCATAGCGGTTTCCAAATCGCATACCTGCTATTAGATCGGCGAGACCATTCCTGAGACTGTACTTGGGCAGCCAGCTGAGGATGGGCAGTCTCCTGACGAGGGTCTTGGCGGAGCAGCAGGCTCTGGCACGGCGGGCCACGTCGCCTCGCCAGCTCCTGGTGTGCTTCTCGGGATACGAGGATTCGGGGTAACCGTTGCCATCTGTTGAATCGAAAGGGTTTACTATATGAAAAAGTCACCAAACAACATTTTTACTGCGGTATTTTTGATACGGACCGTCACCCCGATGGCCATTGACTGCTCGGGGCGGTCGGAACCGGTCTAATACGCGGAGAAGCGTTATGGTTTCAACTCGTAGGCGAGGATGAAGTATTTGGTTATGCGTTTTACCACTATGTGTATACAGCGGTGGGTCCGGAACATTTTGGCCCCTTGCTCCACCGCGTCGATGAGGATGTGGACGCGGACGACGTCCCCAAACTGCCGCGTTAGGGTGCGGTTGGCAATTTGTTGTAATGGTAATTCAGTGATACATACTATACACAGCTCGTTAAAAATATTTTTTAGTAATTTTTCCTCCGTTTTTATGTGAAAAGTTGCCAAGCGAGCAGACGGTTCACCTTGTTAAGTGAATAACGCCGCCCACGGACATCTACTACACCCGAGGGTTCCAGATGCGTTGACAACCTTTGGAAAATTGGGCTCCGGCCACCTCACTCACCAAAACGCGAAAGTATTATACTTCCACTTTACGCCGGTCTTCTGTGAGGTCGTGCAACATCCGAGGCTGCTGCGTGGCACCGTGGTCTTACTGCACTATACATTCTGTTTTACCCCTATGATTGTTTTTAACTGACAATTTCCTCAAATATTTAACTATTGAAAATAAAAAAACCTGAATGGTTACCTTCGTTTCAAATCTATCCACGCGGAGCCGACGCGTCAGCTAGGTTGAACATCAAAAATATCTCACAATTGATTGATTATTTAGCTATTATTTCGAAAAGATGCAGGTTTCCTCACGATGTTTTCCTTCACCGCTGAGCACGTGATAAGTGAGCACTTAAAATTAACAATTTATGGATATTTTTACGGAGGTAGGGCCACGCAGAAGCCTCGGCTGTTGCACGAAGCTCCATTTATAAAAATGAAGGAGGGAATTTATGAAAAAATGGGCCACGAATGGGCACGTCCGGGTAAGTACCACGACCTCACAGAAGACCGGCGTAAAGTGGAAGTATAACAAATACTTTCGCGTTTCGTCTGGTGAGTAAGGTGGCCGGAGCCCAATTTCCAAAACGTTGTCAACACACCTGGAACCCTCGAGTGTAGCAGATGTCTATGGGCGGCGGTATTCACTTAACATCGTGTGAACCGACTGTCCGTTTTGCAAATTTTTCACATAAAAGCACCGGGAACTAAATCGATACTGAGCGATCACTGATTCAACTAGGTGGCAGAAAATTCGCCGAACACGTGACAGAGGACGGCCTACAATTAAGATTAAGACGGTGACATTATTATGGGTTTGGTTACTTTGTTTGGTTGTGTACTAGCATTTGGAAGGTTGTGTGAACTTTGGAGGACTAAGAGTGTTTTCACAAGCGTGATATCATAGTTTCGAACAGCTGTGCATTGACGTTGATGGACGTGAAATGCGATACGCCTTTGTAACTATAGATATATGAAAATGAAGAGTTCTCCAATTATTCGTTTTTAGAAGGAATGAAGAAATTTATCAGAGATTTTAAACTTTTCTGTGTTAACGGCAGTATATTTATTAAGTCAGTTTTTTGTCAACTTACTGAAGTCAGATTTATCGTGGATTAAAAAAAAGTTGAGGAATTCGTCGTGTTTCATTTTACCTGATCTTATTTAAACTTTTATTCAATGTCGAGTCTTAATGTTGAACGTTTTAATCATTGGTGTTTTATTATCGATTAATAATGTTTTATTTAATTGTAGACGGTCTTGAAACTTAAAAGATTCAGATTAAATACAGTATTATAATTAATTAAAAATACAATATTATAATGAATTAAATTTTAATTTTATTTAGACACTTGCCAAGCAAATTTCAACAAAAAGATTTAAATACACGACAGCAAAATGCTAAAAGGTGTTGAAAATGTAACTTCCGTGTATATAAAACAGTAATTTGCTTCCGACATTTAAAACGGATACCGAGAAAAAATATTTATTGTATAATTTTATTGTTAAAACTTCGGTTCATATTTCCTTATAACATTTGTGAAAAAGAAATTACCGAATTCTCGAACCGGTTGTTTTGATTCCTTTTTCGCCAAATAGAATTCCTGATATCGTAAATACTTACATTAAAATTTCATTACCTTAATCAACTTTAATCAGTTTTCTAAAAAATCAATCCTTATTTTTTACAGTATTTTTCTTTATTATATCTTCTGAGCTATGGTCCAAATTTCAAGTATCGAGCTCATCGGGAAGTTAGTTTCAAATCAATTACAAAATTTCACTCGGACAGACATACAAGAAAGCGAGTTGATAAAAACATTGTTTAGTTAACTGTTGAACCAAACTGCTTTCTTAGCAATTTTTACCTAGTCTTCCAATAAGTAGTAGGCGTTAATATAATGCGACAGGCAGTCGGTCATCAAGCAAACTACGCGTTCTCAAATTATCATAAATATCATATCAATCATTAGTGTCAATCATCAATAGTATATCATTGTACCTATAACAATTTCGTAATAAAGTCTTATATCATTCTAATAACTTCTATTATCATTTATATCATCATAACCGGTGTGGATTTAGCCCCAACAGTAATAAAACATAATATGTTTTCATTTTTTATGTCTTCAGATTATAAATTTGACTGCTATAGACATCATTAGACGTGGCAAATACCGCATTAGCTTGGTATTTAACATCCACGGTAAACATACTGAACAATACGAAACATTTATGTAGTGAAAAACGCCTGTTATTCGACCTCGCCTGAGAGCGCGATCCCACATTACGTGCTCTTCGTGTTTTAGATACAGTACGCCGCTTAAAGCGCTTTCCAGGGCAGTTCTTATCGCTGTCATTTGCTGTAGATGCTTAATTAAGGTGGTTATTGCCAAGTGTTAACATCAGTTTCAACGCCTGGTCACTGGCCATGTACTCTATCTTATCTTTTAAACGAGCATTCCAGCGATTTTCATGAAATTTAGTATGTGCGTAGATTCGCTGGCGAAAAATCGATTTAGCTAGATTTAATTTTCAGAGAATGTCCTTTTTTCCCTGTTTTCAGGGAATGAAAAATATCATTCGAATATGACAGTAAATTTCGACCCAAAAAAAATATTATAATAGCTCGGTAGGTAATAGGGCGGCCCCAAAACAGACGGCTGCGGTTTGTATCACGATCACTTACATACTTATTTATTTTTACTTTTTTTTCTATACCAGATCATTTTCTTGTCCTCCGGGTACTAAGAATACAATAGCACAGCCTGATATAATGCATATATTGAGCTACACGCGGTACAATCAATATATTCCCAAAGATTTATAGCGTCGTAACAATAAATACAACATTGCCTTTTGTTGTACAACTTGTTATCGTGATGGCCAAATAATAAATACGTTCGAATGTTCGGTAATAAAGACGACGGTAGCTCAGTAGATAGACCGCCCGGTTTGTTATTCGTGAGACTGAGATTCAGACTCTACAAGGTTTATGTACTATATTTTTTTGGTATGAACTAAAATATTTGCGATAACATTTTTTCTGTTATCTGAATTTAGAACTATCCTAGTTTAATCCAGCAGCGTAGTAGAAATAGCCACTGTTGCGACAATTTCGTTATTTTGTGTTGAAAAACGTAACTTTTTTAACGTATTTGCGTTATCACTGATCGAACATTTTGGTTTTTGTATGCTGGGTACCTATATAAAAATTAATTATATCTATGTTTTGTAACGTATTTTCAAAACTTCTTAGTTATTTAAGAAATTGAACAGAAGAAAAAGAAATTAAACTGTGTCTCTCTTAGATTGAAAGCTATTAGTGCGTGTTTGTATTAACTGTTCAATGGACCAGAATTGTTTGCTTGTTTGAAGATTTATATTTTCAAAGGTCACGAATTAGATTGGTATATAAAAGTCAATGTTTTCCGCTTATGTTTGCACCACACCGCTAAGGGAAGCACACAACGCGTTTGGTCGCTAGCGTCATTTACATAAAAATTAAATCCGCGCCGCTTTCCGCTCGCGTTTGGTCCACACATGACAGTGGCACACACCGAAGGCGTGTTTGTCACAATGTTTACTAACGCACTTGACGGCTGTGTACTCTATTGCCTTCCGCTAGCAGAAGGCACCGTTAAGTTAGGATCGCGCCCGTGAATCTTATTAACTTACTTGGCGTGTGTCGAAGGCTGGGAGAATATTTTTCGGTTGTGTAAATTATTTAATGATTGTTAAATTGACGATAGAGTTGTCGTGTGGAAATAAAAAAAAATCGCAATTCAATCTATGGCAATAATGTTTTAATAACGATGATCCTGTCTTTATAGACATGGGTCATCGCTTAAACGCATTGTTCCGCTTTACATTACATGATATGTAAGTGAATGTAACAGATGATATAAAACGTACGATACGGAAGGGGATATTAGTGTTTTGTTTTTTACTTTACAATATTACATATTATTATGTTGTAAAATAACAGGTATAAAATAAATAAACAAATTGTTAAATAAAATCTTATTTACCTTTTGTTAAATGTTCATAAGATTCAATATTCTTTGAACTTTTTGTTTGCAGTAACTCTATTTGCTTCATTCGACGGTTCCAAAATTATTACATTTAAATGTATACAAACATATGTACCCTATTAAACATTAATTAAAAATAAAAGCCAAGCAAACAAAACTTACTACTGAATTTTAGAGCTATCGCTAATTTACTATTAACAGTGTAATTAATAGCGAGGCAGGAAAATGAAGCATTACTTATAGAATAAATAAGTAATTGTTACAGCTAATTATCTGGTAAATATAAATCGGTATTTAAGAGGCTGTAAAATTTGATTACTGTATTAGTGATTCGTAAAATGTTTGTAGATATATATTTTTCAACAGAATAATTAAACAACTTTGTTCTTTATTGGGCAACAATCGTCCGTGTTAAGTTAATAATGTTGAAAACTGTTTGTTCATTCAAATATATTTCTCTGGTAATGTAACCGAACAAGTCAAAATTTCAAAATCGAGATAACAAACAGATGCATTATCAGTCTCTACTATTATTGGAGCAACCTGAGTTCGATCCCCGGTGCCGCCACCAACGAAATTGTAAAATTTTAAGTGCTGACTTATCACGTGCTGACCAAATAAAATATTTCGTTTATATTAGTACATTAGTAGGTAGGACATTTAGTCCGGTTAGGTAGGTCCAACTTCGACGCAGAGGTGAATCGGCAAATCCAACTCGGATGGGCTGCGTTCGGGAAACTTCGGCATATCTTCTCGTCTAATATCCCTCAATGTTTGAAGACTAAAGTCTTCAATCAATGTGTGTTGCCAGTGATGACCTACGGAACCGAGACGTGGTCCTTCACTGCTGGCCGTATGAGGAAGCTCAAAGTCGCTCAGCGAGCTATGGAGCGGGCTATGCTCGGTATTTCTCTGCGTGATAGAGTTCGTAACGAAGACATCTGCAGTAGAACCAAGGTAACCGACATAGCTCAGAGGATTAGCAAGCTGAAGTGGCGATGGGCCGGCCATGTAGCTCGTAGAACCGATAACCGTTGGGGAAGAAAGATTCTCGAGTGGCAACCTCGTACTGGCCATCGCAGTGTGGGACCCCCCACTAGATGGAGTGATGGATACAGGTGGCTCAGGATCGTATTTCGTGGCAGTCTGCGGGAGGCCTATGTTCAGCAGTGGACTCAAACAGGCTGAAATGAAGATGATGATGAAAATATTTCGAAGATATGTGAAGTCCGCCAATCCGCATGGTGGACTATGCCCTAATACCCTCTATACAGAGGCCTTTGAGTAGCAGTGGGACATGTATAGGCTTAAATTTTTACTTGTAAGTTTTAAGACATACGGAATAATTGCACGTCATAATATATATTGTTTTTTTTATACACCCAAAGTAATTACGTTAATGTATTGTAAAAAAAACATTGATAAATTTCCTGTAATTAGAGCCGCCTCGCCATCGGCGTGAGCAATGGCCTGACAACAGAACTGACCTAGACAAGCATCAGCAAAGCGAAAGTATCCTATTTTGCGAAGTAAGTCTTAAAAAATCCTAGGGTTGTACAAAATATATTTCTAATACCTGTACAAACTTTTTACGATTACCGTTTTCAATATAACAATACCAATGGAGGACATCCGGAATGGAAATCCGTGACATCTGCCCGCTCTGATTGGGGACAGGCGTGATGATAGGTAAACACGAGTGAAGTCAAAAATAGTTATTATAAATAATTACTATCTATCCTAAATGACTTTCTATTCTATTAAATGGAGAGCCGGTTTTTTTTTTGGTCGATTATACATCGAAAACTGATGATCCTATAGGAATAAAACTTATACCATATGCAGCGTGTTTCGGAAAAGGTTTTAGTATGTCGGTGATTACTTATCGATGACGACGAACCTTATTTTAACGTATAAGTCCGTTAAGCATAAAAAAATGAAGCAAACACTCATTTGGGCCCTTGTTTATAAAGACGATTGGCTATATATATGTGTGGGTGTGTGTGTGTGTGTGTAAACACCCGTAAGAAATGCACAGAGAAAGATCTTTGACAGCCTTGAACGAAAGCGCGAACATCGAGAAATCAGCGGCCACGTGCGGCAACTTTCTACTGG